ACTAACGTTTGCTTTACACATTTCTGTTTCAAGTTTGCTCATGCTCCTACACTCTATTATCTGTTCTTGCGGACATCAGCTTCTGGTACATGGTTCCTTCCATTAGCTGAGTTTGACCTTTAGCTGAGGTGGAGGATCTCTTTGATGGTAGGACAGGGTAAAGTGCCCTAGCCTGGGTGAGTTTTTGTTTTCTTTTTATTCTTATTCTGGCTCTTACCCCCTATGTGTCTCATTTTGTTTACTTACTATTCATACTTCTTTATAATTCTTGGGGCGCGACAAAAAGCGTGTAATCTATTGTGAGGAGGAGGCTCTGAATTTCCAAAGGCTCTAAAGACACAACATGTCATGTTAGAGGCCATGATATAGTGGCCCAGGTGGCTTTCCCTTTCCTCCTTTCCATATCAGAGGCACGTTGAGTGGGTGCAAACAGGGTATGTCTGGAGACGCCATCTAGTGAGCCCGTATTATATTGTAGGCGCCAGACTGCAACCCATTTTGTAATATACTTCTACTCTATTCTTTTGGTCGAACGACAAGTCTAATGTATTTCACAACATCTCTTATTATTAGGCTGCCTCCTGTTGGATCGGCAGGTTTCCGATCACACTGAACTACAATCAAGGTGAGTCAGTTTTATGAGGGTGGCCGCGCCTAAAAGCCTGTCAATGCTAGGTTCTCGGTGAAGACGAGCCATATATCTATAGAGAGAAGAAAAAAAAAAAAAACAACAACGAGAAAAGATATGCACAAAGTTGTATGCCATGTATAACATGATATAGCAGTTACTAAAAGATCATGAAAATGGTATACCATGAGGAGAGCTAAGCATAAGGTGCCTAACCCGGTAAGAGGGTCGAGGCCTTGAGATTTCAATGTGGCGAGCAAAAGTTGGTTACGCGGAGTTTAAATACAGGCTTGGTTATCGTCGAAGAGATCGAGGATCACTGCGTATATGCAGTTACTAATGATTCATGAATGTATACAGAGAGCTAGCATGGTGCCTCCGGTAGGTCGAGGCTGAGATTTCAATGTGGCGAGCAAGTTGGTCGCGGAGTTAAATACAGGCTGGTTATCGTCGAAGAGATCGAGGAGTCTGGTAGCGATGACTTAGAGGAGATGGCTTCGTATGCATCCTGAGGCAGCTGCCCCTACCCACAGTTTTCTGTTTATTCTGCTTTTGTTTATTTTTAGGACCCAATTTGGGGAAACAACATTTGTAAAGAAACAATTATTCTTATTTATATGAAGGCAAAAGCAAATTTCTTTACACATTTTTGAGCTGCGATGGTTTGTTTTTGCTTTATAACTAACGTTTGCTTTACACATTTCTTTACACATTTCTGTTTATTCACCTCAAAAACTTCCCCAAACTCTTTATTTCTTCCCCATTCTTCATGGACCAGTCCTTAGCACTGCATTCGAAGCATTATTCTATAGTTTTACCCGTGAAGACTGTCATGTGCTTTTGCCTTTCTAACTCAACGGGCTAAGCTATTACCGAAATATTTGGGTCCAACCCAGACTACTATAATGGTTGATTGACCATTTCGACCATTCGGACAACTTATCTTGTCATAACAACTTTGAGATCTATTCATTGATTGAGGAGTTCAACATCATTTCCAGGAGGATACCCGTGACCGAAGAAATTCCTGCATTGCCCGGTTGGATATTGACCCTGCTTCACTGATTCTGTCGGTATTTGGTTTCTTGGCTTAAGAGATTCCATCTTATGACTTCAGAGTTGATGTCGTGCCTTTGCATCCATTTGTAGACCATGCCATGGAGATGGACCGCACTAGGCCACATTGCGCTCCACTTGTCTTCTTTTGTATCCTTAGCCAGTACTTATTACTCAGTGTTATTAATGGCTATGGTAGCCTTCAACTGGTGACCAGAGTCAAGCAAATGGCTAGGCGACGCATGTTGTTTTTACTTATTCTTGTCGAGACGCTTACTTGGCTCGGAGATAGCGCTCGGGACTCTAGTTCGGTACTTGGTCTGATGGGGAGTTCGCTTCTACTGCAGGTAAATGCATTTTCTTACATCTTTTTTTTTCTTCTCTCTTTTCTTTTACGCTCTAACTTTTGCTTGAGCTGCCATTATGATTTTTTGACTTAATGAGCTTTTTCTTCTTTTCTTCTTTTCTTCTTTTTTTTTTTATAATGCTCTAACTTTTGCTTAAGCTGCCCTTGCAGGTTTTCGAATTAAAGAGCTTTACTTTGTATTTATTTATTTATTATTTTTTTATAAAATGCATTTGTAGTTGTGGGCTTTTGAGAAGCTTCAAGTGATGGATCCACCATCAGACCATCTGGTGTTCAATTATAAATCGAGAGTCTATGTCTGGTGACACTGTCAAAGACTGGACTGCTATTTTTCAAGATCTCACTGCTGAGGGTGTCAGATGGATTTGCCCTTGGTGATATATAGAGCGAGTCATAGTTTCTTCTTATATGCTCTGTGTGCCCCCATGTGGACTGACTATAGCGGTGGCATATTACCCCAACCGCGTGGCTAGGCAGTATGGTCAGCGTCTGGCTGTCCCTGATTATACTCGATTCGAAGGTGGACTAATTACCCAATGATTTTTGTCTTGCTTTATTTCCACTTGGCCTAGTCACACGACTGTCCCCATTTCTGATGTGGTCGATACCTCTTTTTTAGACATGTACCATTCTCAGCTGCAGGCTTATTCTGAAGTCGGTGCTGCTTCTGAGTCGGCTGATTTATTGATTGCTAGATTCCTATTAGGACCTGACATGTAGATGCCTCTATCTTGCTTTCTAATGAAATGTATTAAATAGTTATTGACAGTGCAATTACATGGACGAGTGCACTTATTATGAATGAAATGTCTTTTGCTTAAAAATGCTTGATATATTTTCTGTTGTTTTATGTCACCAGTGTAAATTCACATCATTTGCACATTAACAAAAACTTAACATAACAAGCTTTAAAGTTAATACGAACACAAAAGGTGAATTTTATCGATTGGGCTTTGCTATAAACGTTTTGATTTACACATAAAATTTCTTCCGTCTATCCAAATTGACTAGCTCTGTGAATTCATTGCCTTCCATGTTTGATAGCTTCACTGCACCTTTTGAAAACATTTTCTTGATCAAAAATGGACCTTCCAGTTAGGCTTCAACTTCCCCCTCGGGTCATGAATGTTTGGCCGTATCTGTTTCAGGAAAAAGTTTCCTACTTTAAGTAGCTTTGGATGAACTCTTTTATTGAAGTGCTTAGCAATTCTCCTTTTGTATAGTTGATCCATCAATCGGGCATTGAGCCTCTTTTCGTCCAAGAGTGCTAATTCTTGATCATGATTCTCGGCCCATTGACATTTTGGAATCTTGGATTCCATTATTATGCGCAAGGACTGCACTTCAATTTCTATTGGTAGCACGACTTCCATTTCGAAGACTAGAGAATAAGGAGTTGCCCTATTTACAGGTTTGGCAGTGGTCCTATAGCTCTATAAAGCATACTGTAATTTTCTTGCCCAATCTCAATGATTTTCTACCATTTTTCTCAATATCTTCTTTCCATTATTATGCGCAAGGACTGCACTTCAATTTCTATTGGTAGCACGACTTCCATTTCGAAGACTAGAGAATAAGGAGTTGCCCTATTTACAGGTTTGGCAGTGGTCCTATAGCTCTATAAAGCATACTGTAATTTTCTTGCCCAATCTCAATGATTTTCTACCATTTTTCTCAATATCTTCTTAATATTCTTATTTATGGCTTCGACTGCCCCATTAGCTTGTGGACGATATGGTGAAGATTTATGATGTTCAATTCCATACTTCTCTAATAGTGTCTTCCTTTAACTTAGAACTGAACTCCATTATCTATCACTATACACTATATGATGGGGATCCCATATCTACAGGATCACGGCTTCATTTCAAGTGAAAATTTTGGTGAAGATTTATGATGTTCAATTCCATACTTCTCTAATAGTGTCTTCCTTTAACTTAGAACTGAACTCCATTATCTATCACTATATGATAGGGGATCCCATATCTACAGATCAGGTTCATTTCAATAAATTTGGCCATTTGCTTGACGCTGATATTCTTAAATGATTCTGCTTTGACCCATCTCGAGAAATAGTCTGCTGCCACCACTATAAATTCATGTCCATTGGAAGTAGGTGGTGAAATTTTGCCAATGATATCTATTCTCTAAGCTGCAAATGGCCATGGCGAAATAGAAGGATGTAATTCTGAAGGTGGAATGTGACTCGGGTCTCCTTGAATTTGGCATTCAAAGCACCTTTTTACCAAAGAAATACAATGCTTTTCCATCGTCGACCAAAAGAATCCTTGTCTGAGAATCTTCTTAGCTAGCAGTTTTCCGTTCATATGGGTGCCGCAAACCTCTGCATGGATCTGTTCCATGATCTCTTCAGCATCTTTCCTTGATACACATCTCAATAATGCCCCGTCTGACATTATCTTGTACAACTGTCTGTCTAAGACTGTAAATTGCAATGCCAAATGCTGTATTGCTCTTCTATCATCTCTAGTAACTGAGTTTGGATACGCTCTCTTAGTCATTCGTTGTAGGACATCATGAAACTATGGCTAAACTTCTTTCTCTATATCCATAATCTTTTCTCCTTCATAGCAAGGGATACTACCTGAAGACATCACAAACGGCTTCTTAGGCATAGTTGATATCTCTTCCCAGGCTGATGCTACATTTGCTAAAGCATCCAGTACTTGGTTGTTCATTATGCTTGTGTGTGTGAAGGTTACTCTCTTAAAGTTCTAAATAACAATATGCAAGTAGTCAATATAGGGCTTCAACCTATCTTTGACCTATCTTTCGTGACTTTCCAATTTTAGTTAGCATGTTCAATTACCAATTTTGAGTTACCAATGACTTCAACTTCTTCAGCTTTGACGGCAATAAGAGCTTCTAACCCAAATAAGCAGGCTTCATATTCTGCCATGTTATTTGTAATTGCAAACCGCAACCTTTTCAACATTGGGATAACTTCTCCTTGTGGAGATCTAACAAGATGCCTACTCCGACTCCGATACTATAAGCTGATCCATCAAAGTAAAGCTTCCATCCTTTCTTCTCTACTAAGTTCAAATGTTCATCGGGAAAATCAATTTCCCATTGCTCATTATCTTCAACTGGATGTGCTGCTAGAAAATTTACAACTGCTCGTCCTTTGACGGTTTTCTTTATGGCATACTCAATGTCGAATTCTGACAATAGGATTAACCATCTTCCTAATTTCCCCACTAGTGCTGGTGTTCCATATAGATATTTGACCGAATCCATCCTTGAACCTGCTATGACCTTGTAAGACTGAAAGTAGTGTCGAAGTTTTATGGTTGCCCATACCATTGCAAACAGGTCTTTTCGATCAAGTTATACTTCTGTTCATTTGGAAGAAGTTTCTTGCTCGAGTAGTACATAGCATTCTCAACACCCGCTTCATCAGCTTGTGCTAACATGGCTCTAATTCCGGCATCTTCCAATGTCAAGTACAAAATTAGTGGTTTTCTTGGTTTTGGTGGGTATAAAACTAGAAGACTTGACAAATATTCGTTGATCTTATCAAAGGCTATCTGGTAATGATCATTCCACTTCATTGGTTGAAATTTCCTTATCAGTTGAAAAATTGGATCTCATACGATAGACAACTTTGATATAAACCTACTGATATATCGAATTTTCCCAGAAAACTTCTCACTTGCTTCTCTGTCTTAGGCATCTCCATCTCTTGGATCGCCTTGATTTTGTCTAGATCGACATCTATACCTTTTGGACCCACTATGAATCCTAACACTTTCCCGAAGTTAACCCGAACACACATTTCTTCGAGTTTAGTCATAGCTTGTATTCGATCACTCTATTCATGAATCACTCTAAGGCTGTTGGATCCTCCTCTGGTGTCTTAGTCATGACAATCATATCATCAATGTAAACCTCCAATTCTTTATGGATCATGTCATGAAATAGTGTGGTAGCCATCCTTTGGCCCATATACCCAGCATTCTTTAAGCCAAACGACATCACCCAGTAATAAAAAGTTTTGAATTCTATAAGCTGTCTTGGCCTTGTCTAACAGTGCCATGAGAATCTGATTATAACCTGCAAACCCATCCAAAATGGAGTAGCATCCCATCATCAGTACACTGTCTCTCAGGATATCAATATAAGGAAGTGGAAAATCATCTTTTGGCGATACTTTATTCAAATCTCTGTAATCCATGCACATTCTGACTTGCCCATCCTTCTTGGGAACTTGGACTATATTCGCTAGCCACTCTAGATAATGAACTACTTCTAAAAATCTTGCATCTATCTGCTTGGTCATTTCTCTTTGATTTTCTCAGCCCATTTTAGTCTTAGTCTTCTCCTCTTTTGTTTCATTGGATTAGCCCAAGGATACAATGAAATTGAGTGCTCGACTATAGACCTATCTATCCTAGGCATGTCTTCATAGCTCCATGCGAAGGCCTCTTTCTTGTCCATAAGTAGACTTTGAAATTTTATGTTTAATTATGACGTTAAGTTTGGCCCAATTAACAAATTATGTGGGTTATCTTTTATGCCAATATTAAATTCACGCATGTATGATGAGTTAATGTCAAATATGCACATGAGCTTATCTCCTTGATAAATGGAACCATCAGGAAACACATCAAACAAGTAAGTAAAATTGAAGTTCATTTCATTAAAAAGTATGGAGAGTTCATTACACTCAGAGTCATTATTAACATAAATCAACACATCATAAGGGGATTCAGCTTCTTCAAAGCTTTCTTCAATGAAGGCCCGGATTGCTTTGAGCACTTGATCCGAAAGATCCTCATCTTCTTCTTTGGTGCTTGCCTTCTTATTTCCTTCTTCTTCTTGAGCAACTTGCTCCTCCTTCTTGGCCTCTTCCTTGGCTGCCTATGGCCCTTCAATCCCCTCTTTTTCATGTTCTTTCTCTTCTTATTTTTCTTTCTCTTGCTTTGGTTTTACCGCCAGGATATCAATGACATCTGCAAAAATCTCTAGGCCTGGGTATGTCTTCTGATTGTGCTCAAAAGGCTTTATTAATAGACATCGAGAGGAATGCTCACTCTAACAGGCGAAACGTTCATCCATGTCTAACCAGTCGAGTGTTCTTATTTAAGTGCTTCCATATTTGAAATCTAAGCCTAAACAGTTCCTCTAAGTGTGAATTCCTGGTAATTCAGTAATACCATGTTGGTTCTTTCCTAATCCTTTCCCATCCTCAAAGTTCATCTTCTTCATGATGCTGGAGACAGTGGGCCTCATATCGGTACTAAGGACTACAATTTAGAAGCAAGTCTATGAGAGAATGACATGTTTGTCAACATTCAGTGTGGCTACACTCTTCTCATTGGCAGCTGGGATGGTGATGACTTTACCATTAAATGGAAACTTAATTTCCTGGTGTAGCGTAGATGGCACACCTCCCAAAGAATGGTACTATGTGTGTGCAAGTAGCAAAACAAAAGTCGGGGGAATGTCTATGACAATGATTTCTGTCTCTTTCTCGATCAGCCCCACTTTACATGTCTTGAATATGCCCTTTACTTGTCTCTTGGAATCATCATAATCCCGGATGACAACATCTGAAGGTTCTAAATCTGACACTTTCAATTTGAACTTTGACAGAAGCTTTAATGGACATACATTCAAAGCTAAGCCATCATCAATCATGACGTTAGCTATCACCCTGCCTCTCACTTCTGCCTTAATGAACAGGGCTTTGGTGTGACTCTTACCCTCAAAGGGAAGTTCGTCATCAGAAAAAGTGATTGTAAGGGGGTTACGTTGGACCAACCTTACAAAGTCAGCAGTGGAGATTGATGACAGGACTAGAATCTCGACCATAGCTTTAAGTAGAGCCTCTCGTTGCTTTTTGGAAGAGACAAGTAGGTCCCACATGCTCCCATTAGCATGGGTTCTTTTCAACTGTTTCATTAATGCGTCATCTTTATCCTCTTTCTTCGACACGATCGATGGACTAGCTTTCTCATTTTCTGCTCTAACCTTGCTCATATCAGGCTGATAAACTCGACCACTACATGTCATATGGTTCACTGCTTTAGCTTCTTCTTCTTCCTCACTATTCCAAACATCCAAAATAACGAGATTCACTACCAAGTCATCTTCGCTACCCATTCTTCATTCTGGTTCAGCCATTCCTCATCATTGTCGTCCCACACTTTCAAGACCATCACAAAAATATATTCCAGTAACTGCTCTCTTTCTCTTCTTTCCTCCTCCTCCTAAAATTCGGACGTCACCTCCTTAAGAGTCTTACCAGACTCAGCCATATATAGATTCTTAGGAGGTGGCACATTGCGAAAGTTCAACAATGGATTGGTTCTCTGCTCAGCCTGGATTTCTCAGGATCTGTCACCTTGCCTTCATCGATAAGGTTTTGAGTTTCATGTCTCAACCGAAGACTTTGGTTGGTAGTGTGATCGTTGCCTTGGTGAAACTGAAAATAGGCATTACAGTTGAAGTTCTTTGGCAAAGGTTTCGGAGGTAGTCTTGGTGTTACCGGTGGTAACAAACTCGCTGACTTAACTTTCTCAAACACCTTCGACAGAGGAGTACCAAAATTGGAGAATCTCCTTGGCTGCGTACTGGCGGCCCTCAAATCTAGGGTAGTAATTGTGGTATTTTTGTTTGAACTTGGGGTCTTCCCAAAAGAACTGGACCCTTGGAAACTGGACTTGTTGAAGCTCCTAGAATGGTTCCCATATTGCTTATCTTTCCTCATCTTATCCTCTATGGTGGTTCCAACCTCATAAACTTGTGAAAACTTAGTCAAAGGCATTTAATACAACTTCTCTCGGCAAGCTGGCTTGGTTCCCTTGATGAAGATTTTGATCTACTCCTTAGTGTTGGGTTGATTACCAATCACAAGATCCATAGTTATCCTATTCCATTTCCATTCAGGTATAGAAATATGATGCATCAACCCAGATGGAGCTTGATGCTCTACCTAACCTGCTGACAAGTTAGGCATCTAGATACAAACTCTGTGATATCTCTCTTCATGGCTGGCCACCAGTAATGAATTCTCAGGTTCTGATACATTTTATTTCCACCAGGGTGCATGGCATAGGGATTGCTATGAGGATGAAATCCTTCCTTAGCTCAGGAATCTTCAGTATACAAATCCGATCCCCGTAATACAGACAACCATTGTCTCTGATTATAAAGCCTTTCTTTTTACCTTCTTAAACCAGACCTTTCCACAAGGAAGTTTTCTCATCATTAACCTAGGCTTCCTGAATCTACTAAATCAAAGTAGGCCTAACCCTTATCTCGGCCTTAATAACTCCACCACTAGCTATGGACAAGTGAATATTCATTGCCTACAGGGCTACCGGAGATTTTCTACTAAGCGCATCAGCAACTACATTTGCCTTGCCAGGATGGTAGTCGATAGTGAAATCATAGTCTTTCAGCAACTCAAACCATCTCCTCTGTTGCAAATTAAGTTCTCTCTAAGTAAGCAAGAATTTAAGACTCTTATGATCAATAAAGAGTCTACTTTTCTCCCCATACAGATAATGCCTCTAGATTTTTAGTGCAAAAATGATGGCTGCTAACTCCAGGTCATGTTTAGGATAGTTCTTTTCATGCAGCTTTAACTACCTCGATGCATAAGCAACTACCTGTCCTTCCTGCATAAGTACACAGCCAAGTCCGTTATGGGAAGCATTGTTGCAAACATCATATACCTTTCTCGGCTCAGGTTGAATCAGCACTGTGCTTCTATTAACATCTTCTTTAACTGATCAAAACTGGCTTGACATTTCTCAATCCACTCAAACCTAACATCTTTACGAAGTAACCTTGTCATAGGGGCAGTAATGATTGAAAACCCCTTGACAAATCGCTGGTAATACCCAGCCAAACCTAAAAAGCTTCTAATATCAGTAACATTTCTTGGTGGCTTCTAGTCAAGCATCGTTTCAAGTTTCTTGGGATCCACTTTAATACCCCTAACTGATATAACATAACCCAGGAAAGCTATTTATGTTAACCATAAATCAAATTTGTTGAATTTATCATATAACTCCTTTTGCCTCAAATTTGTTAGTACTGTTCTTATATGGTGATCATGATCAGCTTTGTTCGTGAATACACCAGTATATCATCAAAGAACACCACTATGAATTGGTCAAGATAAGGATGGAAACCTTGTTCATTAGATCCATGAATACAACCGGAGCATTAGTCAAATCGAATGGCATCATTAAGAATTCATAATGTCCATATCGAGTCTAAAAAGCACTCTTAGGCACATCTGACTTCTTAACTCTCAACTGATAATACCCAGACCTTAAGTCGATCTTTAAAAAGACACAAGCTCCTCTCAACTGATCAAATAGGTCGTCAATCCATGGTAACATATATTTATTCTTTATGGCCACCCTTCAACTGTCTCTAATCAATACAAAGTCACACAGTTCCATCCTTCTTATTGACAAATAGTATCGGATCACTCCATAGAGAGACACTAGGGCAGATAAAGCCTTTGTCCAGCAATTCTTGAATTTGTACTTTCAACTTCTTTAAAACTGTAGGTGCCATCTGATAGGGGGTAATAGATATTAGAGCGATACTCGTTTTCACCTCGAAACTGAACTTAACTACTCTGTCCAAAGCTAGCCCTGGTAAATCCTCAGGAAACACATCAGTAAAATCTAGAACAGTATGTACATCCTACACACCTGGAGACTCCTTCTTAGGCTTAAGCACACAACCTAAGAAAGCTTAACAACCATGATGAATCATCTTCTTGGCAGCAGTAGTTGAGATAACATTAGGGATGAAATCTGGCCTATC